GGCTTTCGCGTTCCGAATTCGATACTATTCGTTTAATCGGTTTTGGCGCATTTGGAGAGGTTTCAGTAGTGAAATGGAAAAATGATGGCGGTATTTATGCTCTAAAATCTCTGCATAAGTATGATATGCTGAAGCGCGCTGATGTAACTATTCTATATATTTTGACGCATCCATAGCGTGCTTGTTTTTTAGAAGAACGAGATGTCATGGTAAAAGCAATGGCTAAAAATTCTCCGTGGATAGCAAGGTTGCATCACACATTTCAGGATGAAAAATATTTGGTTTGCATACCTTTTTTTTAATGTTCAAAGTATTTTTTGATGGATTTTTATAATGGCGGAGATATGCTCACTCTTCTTAGCAAATTTGACGATAGAATACCGGAGAACATCACAAAGTTTTATGCAGCTGAAATAGTAATGGCTATAAATTCCCTACATGAGCTCGGATATGTACATAGGGATATAAAACCGGACAACATACTTGTTGAGAGGTTTTATTTTTATATTTTAATTCTTTAGTTCTGGACACATTGTTTTAGGAGATTTTGGCTCCTGTCTGCGCTTGAAGGACGGTATAGTTAAAGTGAATACAGCTATTGGTACTCCAGATTATATTTCACCAGAAATTTTGCGAGCTGCCGAAGATAGTCACGGGACTTTTGGCATTGAGTGCGATTATTGGTCTTTTGGAGTAGTTCTTTTTGAGATGCTTTTTGGAGAAACTCCTTTTTACAGCGAGAATCTTATTGAAACTTATTCCCGCATTATGAATTTTTCTGTGAGTAATATTTTTCGCTGATACATAATTGTGAAGCTTTTTTCTTAAATTTACCTAAAATTCATATCTTTATCTATTTATTTATCATCAGCAACACCTCAAGTTTCCTACAGAATGTGGTGATATCAGTGAATGTGCTAAAGATCTTATACAAAAGTTAATTTGCGATAGGAAAGCAAGATTAGGAAGAAGTGGACTCGCTGACTTCATAAAACACGATTTCTTTACTGGGATTGATTGGGAACATTTAAGAGATCGTAAGTCTATTCATTCTTAACATCACAATATTTATAAAATTAAGATGCCTATACAGTGATGCACCTAAACTCTTAGATCTCACTTGCTTTATGTTGATATTTTTAGCAAATTGAACTCCAGATCAATAATTTGCTATTTCTTAAATCAGCCTAAAAATAACATAATATGTTACGAGCTTGTTTCTATTTAATTGGTTTTTGAATAATTAGTAGATCTTCGATAAGAACTTGTGTCACCTTAGGTCTACTAAGGTGATGTAATGACTCGGATTAATTCTAAACACTGAAAATAATAGAAGAGCTTATCATTCTACTGAAATGAATTCAAGTTCGGCGGAGCCCTTATTTCGTTTGAAAATGGATTCGTGAATTTACTTTGCCGAAAACTGAAAGATTGCTGAGTTTTGGATTTTGCAAATACGACCTAGACACAACGTACTGAAACTCCGATGAATCCATGCTAATCTTTTATCTTTCATGTGATAGTAATTATCGTAACCAGGAATCATCATTTACGATTTATTCGCCAGAATTATAGACTAAAATGGTGGCCGACTGAAGTCCTTACTTATACATAGATTTTGGATCTTAACTAACGATTTTATGATTTGGTATTATAATTCATGCTTACCCTACATTTTTATATATAAGTATGTTTAAAGACTATTACTCGATTTTATTTTACTTTGATATTATCGAAACTGCAGTCTACCCTTAATAATTTAGCTTTTTGGGAGATAGGGGTAAGTAAAATTTAAGAACGATTAAATTTAGTTATTTCATAGTGAGAAAACTCGGCTATCATTCTTTAAATTATCTTAAGCTTACTAGGGTGACCAAGTTCTCTTTAAAGAATCTCGGATAGTCTTGAAACCTACTTATGTCACTAATAAGTAAAATCTTCGGCTGCATTGTTTTCTCAATCAACAACTCACTGTAAAATGTGATTTGGGAGAGACCTAGCTTGCCTTGAATATCGCATCTGTCCTGGAAGTCAGTGGTACACTCGAACTCCTTTAACTGTACAGTCTCCATATTCTACACGACCTTCTACGTACGGATTGGCAAGTCTCCCCCTCTCATTGTTATCTGATCTGTAGAAGGAGTCCGAAAACTCATTTAAACTCGAGGGGCTTTCTCATACACACGGATTAAATCCATGCGAGTTCGAAACTGCACTTTCCATTAATGAAGAAATTTTATTGTATTTAGTACTTAACGTAATTCAATGGAATATTAAGGCATTTACT